TTCGGGCCTGAGCAAACCAGTAAAACTGTGCACACCAGCTATATATCTTGCCCACAAGAAACTAAATTAAAAAAAACTTTTTGTTGCTTCTCTGAGACCACAGCAAACAGGGAGGAGGTATACTGGGCGGCAAGCTTTGGCTTGGTGTGTCACAAGTTGGGACTGTGTGACAGACATTTTCTTTTCAGAAATTAAGCACCGGCCTAAACCCTGTTAAAAAAAAAAAAGCCACTATGGGCGCAGCCTTGACTTTGTTTGGAACGTTCCGGCTGTATTCAAACTTCTATGCATACACCATGACAAGAAAGTTAACTATTTATAAAAGACCACAATTAACTTCCTTTTATTGGTTTCTGACAAGCCAGTTCTAGTCATCCCAGTCACTGACGGTTTATGGCACAGTACCCCGGGAATAGGCTTTTTTTTTTTGGTCACCACTGAAGTTGATTGCATAATGCCAGTTATAAAAGAAAAAAATCTGTACTATATGGAGGCCGCATCACTGAGAAGTGTCGGGCCAGGTAGAAAGTATTCGTGGCATTGAGCAGGCTCACAGTCTTCTTCCTTAGTTACCCTCCCAAACTTGGGTTGCCAACTGACCACGGGAGGAGACAGCGGATCAACCTGTTGTTAAAGGAATAGCTACAGAAACCAAACCGAAAAGTTGGCACCTTAGCAACAGAGAACCCAGCAGGGTTCGCTCACCAGACTAGGCTCTAGGGTAAAGGTAAAGGTTCCCTTGCTCGAAAGCCAGCCGAGTCCGACTCTAGGGTTGCGGTGCTCATCTCCGTTTCAAAGCCGAAGAGCCAGCGCTGTCCGAAGACTTTTCCGTGGTCATGTGGCCGGCATGACTAAACACCAAGGCGCACGGAACTCTAGGGTACCCGGATTCTAATCTCCACTCGGGCATGAAACTCACGGGGCAACCTTGGGCCATTCACTCTCAATCTGACCCACCGCAAAGGCCTGTTGTGAGGGGGGAAATGGGGAGCCCCACCACCTGGAGCCCCCTTGAAGTGAGGGCAGGATGAGAACGTTACCGTACAGCTAGCTGTTAGGGCTTCAAGGGGACTTTCACCCACACCATTCTCACCATCCCCTCCAAAGCAAGCTGTAAAGTATTTTTGGTTCCTTGCCCACATCTTTATTTCTTGCAGTTGATAAATTCCCATTCCTATCCAAATGTAGAAACAGGCCGATGCCTACATTCCATCTCTCACCACTGCTTGCTGCTTTTTTTTTTTTAAGTTTGCTCTGAAAAGAATGTCATTAAACTCCCTGAAAGCCATTCAGGTGGAGACAGGTTGTTAAATAAATACTATGAAAGGCACACAGGCTTCTAAACACAAAGGGAGGAGAAGTGGAAGGGTCTGTTTTGACTTCTAAAAAAGCAGACAGATTGAGGCTGGAGGGTCTTTTTATTTTAGAAGTGACAGATTGCTGAGAAGGGTGGATAAGAGAAATTATTTCAGCTGGTTTTTAAGATGGATTGTTAGGAAGAGAGAAAACAACCAGTGGTCCTCCACAGATACTACAGAACAGGTCGAGCCAGATAAACAGGCCCTGCTAACCCCCAAGGGGATTGGAAAGAGTATCACACAAAACTTTAATAACCTGCGTTTCACGACCTGCATTTATTAAAGCTTTCAAGCTACAGTTTTCCTGCACAGCACTTAAAAAAAAAATGTTCTACAAGTCAAATGGGTACACAGAATGAAAGGATATTATGCAGAGTGCGCCAAATTAAGCCTCACTATTCAATCTGCTTTTCAGCACAGAGCCCCATGGCCTTCTAATACTTGTCGCTCGAGTTTATAATGAACTGGAAGCCTGTATTTGCCTGAGATATTCACCCAAGTCCTATGCTGCCATCCTATACATGGGACAGAGGAAGCGGAACAGAATGGCAGAATACAACCAAAATCCACATTATGTATCTCAAAAGATTTCTCCCTGCCCCTTCACATAAATATCTGTGAGATGGCTAAAGGCAATAATTACAAAGAACAAGGAAATGGTAAAAAAACAAGAAAATAAAAACCTGCAAAAGCAAAACGTGTGCACAATTTAAAAGACAGCATCAGATTCTTTTAACAATGTGCAGGTAAAAACAATGCAAAACACCAAGCAACTCACAAAAAAACCTGGAAAGATTGAAAAAACTATTGACAGCCAAGAATCAGATTGAGCTGATAATTAGCAGGGGATCGATAAGTCAATTATTAAGACATTTACAACACGCACACAAGCACTTACAAGCCCTTTGGCTTCAAATTGTACAAACATTTGCACACCATAAATCTCCTGGAGCCAAGAACTGATACTCCCGCCCCTTCTATATTCCAGCCCTTTTGGTACTTCCATCCAAAAATCACTGAAATGCAAAGTTACCTCAGGTTCAGTATAAAACTCAAAGCCCTCACAAAAGGAGGCATGCCATAGCATAACATAGCCTACATAAAACTGCAGTTGCTGAACACAACCAATCTCCATACTGAGGTAAAACATCTGATGCAGAGAAACGAATAATATACTTAAGACCAGTGTTCCCTCTAAGCTGAGTTAGTGTGAGCTAGCTCACAGATTAATAGCCTCCAGCTCACACATTTTTGTCTCAGCTCAGGAAGGAGGGCTCCAGAGCAAACTAATGTATGCAGTAGCCAAATCGCTCCCTCACAACTTTAATGCCAGCCGCTCACAAAGTAGAATTTTTGCTCACAAGACTCCACAGCTTAGAGGGAGCATTGCTTAAGACCACCCCCCATTTTATCTGAAGTGAAATTTCGTCTCTATGAACCAGACTAACTTTGATATACCCACTGCACTGTTTTAAATCACCTTACTAGGGAACAGACACACGTGAGGGAGGCAGCATATTAAAAGCACGGTGCAGTGACCCACAGGACTGGCCTACTTGCCTGTATGTGACGGGATATTTAAATGTTAAGGAAATGTGGATGAGAAACAATAAAATAGTAACACCCCAAGTCTTAACCTTGAGGCTCCAACTTCTACACAGCAACGACATGCAAAATGTCAGAGCCCTTCTTGCCAGTCTGCCTGATTGTTTATGGCTTATAACATTACGGTAAGTAGACCGAAGAAACAAATTCTCTTGAGCATACGTAGTTCCTTGGATTCAAGAGGGCAAAGGCGCTCTTCTTCTGAGTTGAAAATGGAACCACATGTCCCTGATGCCACAGATCAGGTTGCTTTTCCCAGTGGCTAAGAGTAAACTTGTGGCGTTCAAATGAGTCTGCCCGATTGTTTCTGCATGAATCTGGGCTTTTCTCCTGCTTGGAAAGAAGCAATCCCTGAGCAGTCACTCAAGCATGCAGTGGGCACCCTCTTCTAAGGCGCTCTTGTCGGGAGCCACTACATAAGCCAAATATACCTAATGCAGAGATGCAGCAAAATTACCCAGATGCTGCAAAGGCTGATTAGAAGGCAAAGAACCAGAGCAGCAAATCATTCAGAGACGCAGCAGGCAGCCTGCTGTCCGGGTGGATATTTTGCGCTCCCAAATGCATACGGTAAAGAGCCCAATTGCTTTTCAGATTTTTTTTTTAATCTTCTCTTTTATAGATAATGGCTTCATTTATCAAAGCAGCATTTCCATAGTTACATTTTCGCCTGAAGATATTCAGCCGTTCCAACAATGAGCAAAAGTGCTGAATACGAGGCCTTGTTGCACAGATTAAATGCATCTCAGATCTTTCCTCAATTAAAAACCAGATTTTTTTTTTAAAAAAGCCATTTTAGCTGTACAGCATAATTCCAATACGTATAAAAATTACAAAAAGGGCAGGCTGCAGTCTTGAAAAAACCAGAAGAGCTCAAATAAGAGGGTGAGCACACCGGCTCTAAGAGTTCGCCCTGCGTATCCTGAAATCCTTGTTTTAGCAGAAAGATTTTGAAGCTGTACAGCAGGACTTCCACAGCAAGGACGCTTTATAAACATTCTTTTGAATTTCAAGGATGAGCGTTAATGTAAATTTACAAAGTGAACCATTTAACCACATATCTTAAGCAACTATTTTTTTTATCATGGGGCCGTGACCAACAGTGCTCCGCAGAACATACAGTTAGCCATCCAAGGCACTCTTAACACTTCAAAGACGGCTCTACTCCCCCATGGCATGTTCAGGACGAACAACATTGATTTCAATGTGAGCTTTCATGGGTCATAGCCCACTTCGTCAGACAGGGCTGTGGCCCACAAAACTTCATACAGAAATAAACTATGTTAGTCTTTGAGGTGACACTGGATTTTTTTGTTTTATTTTGCTATGACAGACGAACACAGCCACTTCTCTGCAATCTACTCCACAGGCATAAAAGACAGCAGCAATGGAAGACTTGAGTCGCCCAGCACATACTAAAGAGGCCGATTAATTTCACAAGCACATGCATAGAGGCGTGCATACACGGTCACACCCTAATGCGATCATGTAACTTTTTTAAAAGTATCGTTCATCATAAAATAAAATGACTTTCCTAAAAGAATTACACGTCTATTTAATGTTCGGGTAATGTTCAATGCCGAGGAAATAGCCATTTGGGGACTATTCTGGAAAAAAAGGATTAACTGCTGGGAAACTTGTTTTTTTCAAAACAAAACAGGGCAGAGAGACGGCCAAGTCTTAAATTTAGCTAAGCCACGTTCCAACGCACGCTTCATTTTTATGTACATGAAACCAAGGAGAGCTGCCCTTCACCAAAAAGCACAATTCTGCTATAAAGTGTTTTTTTGGGAAGGAAGGAGGGGTACTGCTTCAAAGGGGGTATTTACGTACTGCTCAAATTAAACCTCCTTATTTTAAGAAGTTCAAAAGTGTCGGTTTTCATTTTATTAACGGCTCCATTTGGCTGATTTATACCTCTCAGCTTGAAACAAACCAAGTGGAAACCTTTCCAAGCAAAGCAGCAGAAAGAAAGAGGGCCAATTTATATTTATAGGATGTGCAACTCACAAAATTTAAAACACGGTAAACACATACCAGTATGAGTCCGCAGGTGTGCTTTTAAGTGGGAAGACTTCGTATATACTTTAGTGCAACCTAAGACAGAAAGAGAGAACAGGCATATCAGCTGAGAGCATTCACGTCCTCAAAATATTACTGTATAATTGTACACAATCCACTAACATGCTTGCTGGTCGCTCTAGAGGAGGACGGGGCTTTATATTAAGAAAGTTACTCAAAACTTTGGCATGTCAAATTAGAATTCCATTGCCAGTTAACACCAAAAGGACAACTCCTAGTGCTGACATATACCGTATGTCCATATATAGAACTTCCATACACATAACAGAACTTCCATTCAAGAGCTAAAAACAACTAATGTTAAAATTAGAAAGAAAATATTTCTATTATTGCTCCACAATAGTATGCTTCCCCTCCTTCTGTTTCCACACTGCATGTTTTGCCAATTTTTCCACAAAGTGTGTTGAACTACACCTGTGTTATGCTGAGTGACTCAATTAAGATTCGTAGCAGCCATTTACAGACCAGGTAGGGCAGCGTTACATATCAGGGGAGACATAGTTCAGTAAGGAATTATACAATTGCGTGCTTTTAAGAAATGCCTTTACCAACCGACTCTCTAACAGTGCGATCCTAAGCAGAGTTACACCCTTCCAAGACCACTGATTTCAAGAGACTTGGAAGGGGGTAACTGGTTAGCGCTGCACTTTAAATGCATCGGCTTCCAGCTGACGGTTCTGGGGTTTCAGGAGGCTCAACAGGCAAGCGGGCTAAATGCGAATGGAATGTAGTGCAGTGGTTAGCGTCTGACTAGGGGGACCCAGGCTCGAATCCCCACTCTGCTATGAAAGCTTACTAGGTGACCTTGGGCTTACCACGCCCTCTGAGCATATCCTACTCTGCAGGGCTGTTGTGAGGATAAACCAGAGGAGAGGAACGCAACGTTGCAAGGTGCTTTGGGTTCCTGTTGGGGGAGCAAGGTGGGCATACGTAAATAAATTTCAGGGTCAGAAGCCACACCAGAGGGCACACGGGCCCAATATCTCAGACAAACTGCCTTGCCTACAGCATGACATTAGAGAGAAGGTGGGACTCCTAACACAAGCTCCTCCTCTCGTCGTCAGTTTGCATCCTGACAACGCCTCTCATCAAGCAAAAGGTATAAAGAGCTTAGCTAAGGGCAAGAATAGAGGACTCCTGCTCAAAGCGTCCAAAAAAGACTCAAGACGCGCAATGCCAAATTAAATGGCATGAGCTGAACAGGATGGGGGCATAAAAAGCCCTATTAAAAGATCAGAACTGTGTCCATGGAAGAAAAGTTTGGTCCAGGGTACAGGAAAAGGGACAGAACGCTCCTCCATGCGGAAGATACCTAACTCCCACACAATTCTGTCATCAGTATTTCTCTGTTGGGAGCTGTTTCGGATCAAACCATGTGAAAAGCCTGGTTGACATAAACAGCAGATCACATGGCAGAACTGTGACAAATCAGACAGAAGAACTGAATCTTCTCTGTGCAGGGATTCCTCCATCTCAGGGAGAACGTTACAAAACACTGCAGTTTTCTACCCGAAATCTGAAGCAGAACAGTTTTAATCTGTGATCCGTTGCTTCTTTTAAACCAGGCCAAAATGAAACTACCGAGAGCATTTATTCAGTGATCCAGAATTCTGGTTTGGGGCATGTTTAACTATCTTAAAAATGCTTTCTGCAAGAGAACAGATAGCCTACAAAAGGGAGCCGTGCTAGGAATCATCCTGGCTAGACTACTGTAACTCATTCTGCATAGGGCTGCCCTTGAAGACAATTCAGAAGCTGCAACTGGCACAGAACCAGGCAGCCCGCTTGAAGCCAGGAGCCTGGCACAGTACACAGACAACATCCCGCTACAAATACTTCACTGGTAGCTGATTAGTTACCAAACTCAACCCTAGGTGCCGATTCTTACATATAAAGATTTTTGTGGCCTGGGTCCCACATCTCTACTGGACCATCTCTCTCAATGTGCTTCTCTAATCAAAATCCCCATCTCTGTTGGCTAGAAACAGAGCTTTTCCTGTGGTGGCCCCTACCCAACGGAATAGTCAGACCCAGTCTGATGTTGGTAACTGGGTGCAATCCCAAAAATATTTCCCTGGGAGTAAACTACGCTGAATAAAATGGGACTTCTGTCTGGGTAAACCTTTTTAGGATTGTACTGCTCCATGCATCATGCTGTTTAACTGTTTGTGTATGAGGTGTAAAACACTGTAAACTGCCCTGAGACTTTTTTTGGAGGAACGCCAAATTAAAAAGTTTCCTCAATTCCCCCCCCCCCCCAGTTTTGCTGAGTACACCAACAATAAGTGATATTTAATCTGCCTGGAGAAGGGAAGCAGTTTTATGGCAGAGCAACAGTTTGGGATAGATAGATATGGATAGGGGGGTAGAGATATAAAAAATTACTTACCAGGATAATCACAGTAGTGAATGCGTCTCTTCTCCAAGTCGGGATTACTCCTCCTGTTGTATCTGACCGTCGGCATGGTGGGCGTATTCATTGGGAGGTTCGCAGGCAAACTGGGATTGTGAATCACCATCTTGGACGCGATGGTGGCGGCATAGGACGGAGGGGGGGTCAGATTCTGTAGCAATTCGGCTTGCCTGTCTGGACTGCCGGGCTCCGAGCTGGGGGGAGAAGGCGGGAAATAAGGGGCTTGCTGCTGAAGGAACTGGTTTGGCATGGTGTACGTGCACTGAGGGATCCCTTGGAAGGGCTTCATCGTCGTCTGGGGCATCGCAGGCGACAGGGTGTTCAGGCCCGCCATGGTGGATGACATAGAGACGCTGCTGAGGGAGTCCATCACCGCGGCTTGCGTGGTCGGGTTCGGCATATCTAGATCCGGAGAACTGAGGAGCTGATAGAGTTGGCCCTGCTGGGGGGCCGAGATGGAAAGGTGAAGATCCGGCGTGGGCATCTCCTGCTTGATAAAGATGTTGTTCACATCGGGGTTCTGGTGGGAGCTGAAGATGCTCGTGAACTCGGGGAGGGCCTGAGTCGAGCCGGGGCCGGGAGGGACAGTTTCGCTCTGGTGGCTGAAGGCGTTGACAGGCTCCGTCTTGATGTGGGGGACCGGCGGCCTCTGCGGTTTGTACAGGCCCGTCCTCAGGTGCGTGATGTCGGGGAGGAAGACGTTCATGTTGATGCTGTAAGGCAACCCGTCGCTGTCAGTGAAGAACTGGTCGACCACCGAGGCACTGTCTCGCCGGTATTTTTTATGCTCGTGAAGGGTGGGAATGGGAGGGAGCTGGGGCGTCAGGTACTTCTCCATTTCACATCGGGTCTGGACAAGGATGAAAAGTTTGCAAAAAATAAGAAAGTGAGTCGCGAATATCGATAAGGAAACCGGTCATAAACCCCAACATTATGCAGAGTGTAAACCCAGTACCTTAATCAGTTCTCCCTTTCTAAAAAGAGAGAGAAAGATAACTTGTGAATCAGAGCAGCAGACTCCTGAAGATGTTATCTTTTAAACTTGACTCAATTCTATGGGAATCATAGCTTACATAGCATCTATGTAGAGGTGATCAGATTTAGTACTAACTTAGTTTGTTATGACTGTTGATGTATGTTGTAAAAATCTGTATTGATGACTAACTTTGTAATTTTGGATTTTCAGGACAGTTGTATACTGTTCTGCAGTTATTATATTTCTTGATATATTATACTTCCTCTTAATAAACATCGTAAAAATGGGGGGGGAATAAATAAATAAATTCTGGAAACCCTTCTTCCTAATCACTGAAGTTTGGAAGCTATTTATTTAAGACACTCTCTGAATCGGTTCAGAGGCCCTTCCTTCTAATTTCCCTTGCAATGGAAAACAGATACTGGGACTCAGCCCTGACCATGAATGTTTACTTTTTTTTAAAAAGTACTTTTAAAAAATCCCTACCAAAAAAACCACATGGAACATTCTTCATGCTCGATTAGGGCTCTCGGTTTGTGTATTAGTGAGAAAATGCTGATACAATCTTGTCTATCTATTGTACTGATTTCAGTGAGGGAGAACTAAGTTTCTGTTTAATGCTCACTGAAATCCATGGGAGCAAAGTCTTTGCTGGATTGTACCTGTTGCCTTTTCAACCACTGTTTCTTTCTTTCTTTCTTTTTAAGTTAACACATTCAAATTATATCCAAAAGGTACTCCATTATAAAATCAATACCAACAGGTTAACAGAAGGTTATGTGTATGGATCCTAAGGCCAAACCAAAATATTTAATAACCTGTGCCTGCCGACTATGATAACACAGCTATACATAAAAGAATTTAGATCCAAATCTACCAAATCAAGACATTACTGCTGCAAATTAAAAGTTTAGCAATCCAGGAGTAAAACAACATCTTTCACGCCCACAAACCTTGTGCTCATTTGCTTAATTAAAATTAGTACATTAAACAATATAGTTGTCAGAGCTTGAGAAATCTCGAGAGGGAAGAGGTTTTTTTTGGGGGGGGGGATTCTACAGCGCCTGCAGCAGAAGGCATGCGTAACCAATTGCATTCACACACACACACACACCCCTTCTGCAACATTTTGTATGCATGGCTAATGTGAGAGCATTTTACCTCCCCCCTTTTAAAAGTTCTCTTCCCTGTAGAGTGAGAATTCAAACACAGAGAGGGGAATCCAGCATCCCTCAAAACAAATGAATTATGACCCTCATGACTTCCAAACCCAATTCCAGAATTATTAAAACTCACACCCAATCTTAAAAATCAATGAGGCCTTATTCCCACGAGATGAGAATTAGTTCACATTGTAGATGGGGACTCAGACAATTAAAGGTTCCTCGATACAAAATCTAACGCCATGCACACCAAAAGTGGGGAATGGACAAAAATACAAGTTTACCTACACAGAGAAACACTCGACTAAAGGCCAGGCACCAGCTAGTTCAGTTAAACACAACTAATTTTTTGTTGCATCAACCAGTGCGTTCAGGATTGGGGTGGAATGCTGCCATTCTCAAATCACGAATAAATCCAAAAGAGTTTTTAAAACCCTACTGACAAATAAGAGCCGACCAGGAAAGGCCTGTGGGCAATATATCCAACCAGCTCCCTTGTTATATGCCCTCTCCTTCCACCCTGGTAAAACAGATATTCAGGTGGATGCACCTGAAATCTACACAGGAATTGTCTTCTATCTGCCTGTGCCTTTATAGAGAGGTTTTAAAAGACGCCAACCGGCTCCCGAACCACAACAAGGTTTTTCCAACCCTATAGAGCCCATAAACATGTCCCTTTGTATATATTCCTGTCCGGGGGGAGATCTTTAATTACCTACAGTGGGGGTGGGCGGTTGCAGAGGAATCACTTGCCCAGCTTAGAAGCGCAAAGGAGTCAGTGGGTGGATGCAGCCTGATCCATTACAAGTACAGTCATCAGGAAAACATTTCTCATGCACCCTCCAGCAGGCAGCAGCGAATGGGACGTCTCCCCCCCCCCCTTGCCCTGTAAGGAGCCCATTCATGCCAGAGGCCGTTCCAGTCCTGTCAAGGGGGTGGGGGGGTGTTTGTCTGCTGACAACCCAAAACCTCGGGTAAATAAGTTTTATTTTCAGAGCGTCTCCCAAGTCAGAAATCACCAACCAGAAAGGCAAGGCGCCCCCCCCCCCAAAAGAAGCAGCCCTCTGGTCTTTGATCTCGATCTGCCCCAAAGGCCAGCGGACTTTTCCCAGCTCTTGTTTACAGCTCCAAGGGAGCCTTGATGGCAGAAATGCTGGGGGGGGGGGTTCCACTGAAACCAGGCTGCCTTCCCGACTAGGTGGGTCCCCCCCCCCCACACACACACCCCATTTCCCACTGTAAGATTTGGGGTCCTCTAAAGAACCCCCCTCCGTGCAAGCCCATTAGAGCCGGTGCTCAGGTTCCCCCAAAAGGGGTTGTTGCACTCTTAAGGCGATGCATCCGTCTAAAGTTAGCTGCAGACGGAAAGGGCTCGCTATGAGAAAACAACACAGCGGCAAACCGGAGTGAACAACCCAGATCTGGGAAACGGTTCCAAATGAAAAACGTGTGCGCTCTCTCCCCCCAGCACAAAAAAATCACACTGCGGCTGGTGCTTTCCCATTTTAGTCCTTCCAGCTGTTTGCATGTGGATCCGTTTCCCAGGCCAGTTTCTGGGACGGGCAGGGAAGGGGGGGAAGCCCCCCCTCTCCCCCCAGCACAAAAAAATCACACTGCGGCTGGTGCTTTCCCATTTTAGTCCTTCCAGCTGTTTGCATGTGGATCCGTTTCCCAGGCCAGTTTCTGGGACGGGCAGGGAAGAGGGGGAAGCCCCCCCCCCGCCGCCGGTCCCCCTCCCCGCTCCCCCTCGGGCCTCGGCGGCCCGTCTAAAATGACGGTGCGTGGGCGAAGAGGACAGGCAGGGCAGAGCGCGGCTCTCATTCGGCCGCCGAGCAAGTGCACCGCCAGGCAGCAGCTGGCGCTTTCAACGCGGCCCGAGCGCCAGTCCCCGCCCGCCCTTTTACCCACTTGCGGCTGGCCGGCAAATCCCCCCCCCCCTCCAGCCCCAAGTTGGCAGCCCGGGCATGTTCTCACACACACACACGCACACGGGCATGGGGGGAGGGCTTTCTGGAAAGGCGGCCAGGGCACTCGGAGCGGCTCTCCTGCTGCCGTCCGCGCCTTCTTCGGTGCCGGGGAGGAAGGGCCTGGGGCACCTGGGAAGTCCGGGAGTGCCGGAGGCATTGCCAAGGAGCCGGCGGGGCGCGCCGGGCACGCTCGCCGGGCACCGCCGGGAGAAGGCCGGCGCGCCCGGCCCCAAAGGTGCCACCTTCAAAGCTGCGGGGGCCCCGACCGCACGTGGGGAACGGGCCTTCCCCCGCCACCCAATGTTCCCTCTAAGCTGTGGAGTCTCGTGAGCAAAAAGTCTACTCTGTGCGCTCCTGGCATCGAAGCTGTGAGCGAGCGAGTTGGCCGCTGCATCAATCAGTTTGCTCCGGAGCCCTCCCTTCCGGAGCCGAGACAGAAATGTGCGAGCCGGAGGCTAAAAAACTATGAGCTGGCTCACACTCACTCAGCTTAGAGGGAACACCGCCCGCCAGCTGCGCACCTCCCGCCCGCAGCCTTGGGATGGAGACGGGACGCCCTCCGCGGGGCGACCGCACGGGAATGCGCCCGCCTGACCCCCACCCCATTCCCGCAACACGCGGACTCCTCCGGACCGGCCGCGGCGCCCCAGACCCCCA